CGTGGATTTGTTTCTCCAAAGTACCCAGACTAATACAAGGGTGCTGGTGTCATGGGGTCTCCGCTGCCTGGGGAGGTGGTATTTAAACCATGGATGGGACTATGGGATGGTAGGCAGTGGTGATGTATCTAGCGAGTGCAGAGGCAGATGTCCCATTTGTGACGGTGGTGCCAGGGCTCCCTTGAGGAGGTGACATGGCAATGTCCTGGGCGGTGGCTTCCACAGTAGTAGCATCTACAGTCACAGGAAACACGGAGATGACCATGGCTGCATCAGTGTCTCCTGAAGCAGAGGTGTTTGTCCTTCCTCTTGGGTGCAGTGACCCAAGTGATAGGCTGCACAAGGATGGCAGTTCAAACTCACTGGTGACTCTGCGCCTGCTTCCAGAAAGACCCGCAGTCTCAGAAACCCCAGGGGCACTCCGCTCTGCCCTAGGGCATGTCTATGCACCAGGATCAACTCAACGGCAGTTGGTTCGGTTTCATGGCCATTGAACCCTTCGTCCGCCGCAGCTGCGTGTTTGCCATAGTCGTCCCGAGCGTGCGTGGAGCAGGCCGATGGGTAGAAGTGGATGCTGTGTGATGTGACACCGGTGTCACCTTCGCAGTAGAATGGGGACTAGTGGCCCATGGAGGGTCTTCCAGAGCGGCTTGATCATCTGCGCTCAATGCCTCCCATGGGAAATGCAGGAATTTTATCTGTGAAAATAACTATTGGAGCTGGACTTGTGGGCGTTTTCATGGTGTTGGCGGCAGCAGCCGTAGCATCTTTTATCAGGATACTGAGTGTATCTGGAATGCTGCATTGAGGGGCGTTTGCTTTCATAGGTGTAGTGACATCAGTACTAATAGAAGTAGTCAGTCAGTGTGTTACTTGCTGGAAAGGGGAGCAACATAGAAGGATGGTATCTGCAGAGGAGTCAGCAGAGGAGTAGGGGCAGGAGTAGCAGAAGGAGTCATGACAGGAATCCCAGCATCAGTGCTTGAAGAAGAAAGAGCTGTCATAATAGGAGCAATACTACTAGTGGAAGCAGTGCCTGTTCTTGTACACATGTGAGTAAGAACAGAAAAGGGTATTGTTAGCGCCAGCAGGGTGAGGATTTGAAGGCTTAGTAGTAGTCATTGTGGTTACACCTCGTGCAATGCCAGCAGACATTGTAGAGAAAAGAGTTTGTAAGGGAGACCTTCGTTTAGCGACAGCGACCCCGGTTACTGCAGAGGTGATCTCTGAAGGCACAGTAGGGCTCACAGCATCATGCCCTGCAGCGCAAGAGGAGCTTCAAAGCGAGCCTTCTGGGGAGGAGGCTTCAGCAGGAGGGTATGTTTGAGACAGAGTGGTTAAATAAAGACAGTGGTACTATTACTACCCTTAGTATTACTTGTAGGGGAAATGGCAGTTGTATTAGAAATAGTCATATTAGTGTTAGCAACAGGAGTTCCCGTAGGTGGAGGAGCTGTAGTAGAAATGTTAGTATTAGTGCTAGCATCAGTAGTACTCGGCAGAGAAGGAGAAGTTGCATTAAAAACAGTAGTGTTGGTAACACCAGTAGTGTTTACCAAGGGAGGAATGGTTGTATTGGAAACAGCAGTATTGGTACTGGCATCAGTATTAATTGTAGAAGAGGGAGTATGTGTCACCAGGATAGGCATACTAGTGCCAGCACCAGTACTTGTCAGGAATGGATTGTTGGTACTGGGCACAGTAGGATGGCTGGCAGTATCAGCAGTGCCTATAGAGGAACGAGTAGTTGTATTGGAGGCAGTAGTATTAGTTATAGCACCAACAGTACTTGCAGGAGAAGGAGCAGTCACAGTAAAGACCGCAGTAGTGGTGGCACCAGCATCAGCAGTACTTGTCAGGAATGGAGGGGCTGTACTGGAAGCTGTAGCATTAGTGCTGTTATTGGTAGTATTTGTAGGGAAAGGAGTAGATGTAGTCTGAA